TCTGAAAACGCCACATCCGAAGCGAAGTTGAAACTCCGAGCCAAGGACAAATTTAGTTGTTTGTAGCAAACCAGAAGSCGAAATCAAAATAAGAAAAACAAGGTCTAATATGAACATTATACACAAGTATCTGTCTATTRAAAAGGTATTACTGAGAGTGAGCAGGTTTAATACCGATGGAAGTGCTAGACCACCCAGTAGACCATCATTCATGGAAGTGAAATAGAGCTGAAGGACGGCACGAGCCGTTTTCAAAGCAKATTTCATAGAAGCATTCAGCGGCACCATTTTTTAAGACGTCAAGAACCGTCCTTGTAGTCAAGCGTAAGGCCCTTGTACAGAGCGGAAAAGGCAACAAACCGTTTCCTTCWTTTTCTAAAGACGAGGAGGCGCTTTGTGACTAAGTTCTGTGACTAAAACCCTCTGATTAGAACTTCACAGCATCACCTAATGTAGCTTCCAGATTTACAAAGGTCCAGTGACGGTTCAACAAGGGAAAATAGCTGTTTTCAGGAGGAGCCGACGGGGTCTATTCTTCTAAATAACTGTTMTAGTTCGATTTTTTTTAATTGGAAAGGGATTTTGGGCTACGTTATTGCGTCTTTCCTYCAGGTCAAAGACTTTTTTCAGGTCAAAAAGGCTTATATAACGTTTTTTATGGTCAAAACATTCTTAGACTGTAYATATTCCTTGCCTTAGAGTTCTTTTTTCCTGAATTTCTCGCTGGCAACCAGTTGTAACTTACAGCTGGCTGGGACATAAGAACAGATAGTATTTCTCCCAGGAAACCGTCGTCTCGTCCTATGTTTTCTGGTGTAATAAACACACAATTTTGATAATTCGATTCCATGTGCTTTGCTTCAGTTGAAATGCAAGTAAGAAGTACTGTACAATTCTTACGTTTTATTTGTGTTCCTCTAGAAATCCAACACTTATTACCGCCATGGATTTGAGGATCGCAAAACTTTTCATTGGGTTTTGTGTGTCGTATGCAGCTCATCGTAGCGATCTTAATCTCACACGGACAAAAAGACAAGAACWGATCTCCTTATTAGAGGAATGTTTGGTGATGGCTTTTTTCCTAAATGATTCCGTGACACTTGTCATCATTTATCTTTTACTTGGTCGTTTATACCATCACGCCTATCAATCAGCGAAGGCAATAGATTATGTCAAGAACTTCCTAGGCCTTATTAMTGCCGTTGGAGGCAATCATGCTCTAGAGATGTATGCTAACAAACAATTAGGGATTGCCTATCAATCATTAAGAGAATATCACAAGGCGATTGAATATTATGAAAAGACCTTAGCCATTGCTAAAGAGATTGGTGACAGACAAGTAGAAGTAGATACTTATGGAAATTTAGGAAATTCCTATAGATCACTAGGAGAATGTCACAAGGCGATCCTATATCACGAAAAGACCCTATCCATTGCTAAAGAGATTGGTGACAGAAAAGGAGAAGCAGCTACTTATGGAAATTTAGGGGCTGCCTATTATTCATTAGGACAATATCGCAAGGCGATTGTATATCAAGAAAAGAGTCTGAGCATAGCTAAAGAGATTGGTGACAGACAAGGAGAAGTATCTATTTATGGAAATTTAGGGATTAACTGTCATTCATTAGGAGAATATCACAAGGCGATTGAATATTGCGAAAAGAGACTGAGCATAGCTAAAGAAATTTGTGACAGACAAGGAGAAGGAGCTAGTTATGGAAATTTAGGGGCTGCCTATCAATCATTAGGAGAATATCACAAGGCGATTGAATATCACGAAAAGAGACTGAGCATAGCTAAAGAGATTGGTGACAGACAAGGAGAAGGAACTAGTTATGGAAATTTAGGAACTGCCTATTGTTCATTAGGACAATATCGCAAGGCGATTGAATATCACGAAAAGGCCCTATCCATTGCTAAAGAGATTGGTGACAGAAAAGGAGAAGCAGCTACTTATGGAAATTTAGGGACTAACTGTCATTCATTAGGAGAATATCACAAGGCGATTGAATATCACGAAAAGAGACTAAGCATAGCTAAAGAGATTGGTGACAGACAAGGAGAAGGATCTACTTATGGAAATTTAGGGATTAACTGTCATTCATTAGGAGAATATCACAAGGCGATTGAATATTGCGAAAAGAGACTGAGCATAGCTAAAGAAATTTGTGACAGACAAGGAGAAGGAGCTAGTTATGGAAATTTAGGGGCTGCCTATCAATCATTAGGAGAATATCACAAGGCGATTGAATATCACGAAAAGAGACTGAGCATAGCTAAAGAGATTGGTGACAGACAAGGAGAAGGAACTAGTTATGGAAATTTAGG